ATGTTTCAGGTCCGCTCTGATCCAGATGTTTCAGGTCCGCTCTGATCCAGGTGTTTCAGGTCCGCTCAGATCCAGGTGTTTCAGGTCCGCTCAGATCCAGGTGTTTCAGGTCCGCTCAGATCCAGGTGTTTCAGGTCCGCTCAGATCCAGATGTTTCAGGTCCGCTCAGATCCAGATGTTTCAGGTCCACTCAGATCCTTCATGTTCACAGAAACCCCCACACGCAGCCGCTCCACCAAGTCCTGGACTGTCAAGGCCACAAACACAGATCCAGCTCCTCAAGGTCCTGTGTGTTTTGTTTACCATCTGGCCGTGATGTTGTGACGGGGGTTTCACCCTGACCTGGATCAGAACCAGCTCTGAGCGCTTATAAAGACAACAGCGGGCCGGGCCGGATCATTCCCACCCCACAGGCTCCAGGACCTCACCATGGATCAGATGTCCTGCAGTCGGACCATGACACCTGTGGGTTTTGATGGTGCCGTGGCAGACCTGGTCCCTGCAGCCTCCAATGTCTCTGAAGTCCAGTCTCCTGGGATCCCCGTGGCCACCAGAACCCTCCTGGTGCTGGTGGGCCTGCTGCTGGTGGCCTGGGCTCACACAGACAGGAAGACCGTCCCAGGTAGGTTCAGGTGTCTTCCTTTACTGTCAGATCTGAGGAGGAGACCAGCTGATGTTTTCACCACAACAGGACCGTCCTTCTGTCTGGGTCTGGGTCCACTTCTGTCCTACCTGAGGTTCATCTGGACCGGGATCGGCACGGCCAGTAACTACTACAACCAGAAGTACGGAGACATGGTCCGGGTTTGGATCGATGGACAGGAGACCCTGATCCTCAGCAGGTCTGTCCTCTGAGCTCGTGCTCCTCTGGTCCAGGACTGAACCTGTGGACATTTACTGTTGTCTCTGAACTCAGGGCGTCAGCTGTCCATCACGTCCTCAGGAGTGGACAGTACACGTCTCGCTTTGGGAGCAGACAGGGTCTGAGCTGCCTGGGGATGGACGAGAGAGGACTCATCTTCAACAACAACGTCCCTCTGTGGAGACGGACACGAGCTTATTTTACTAAAGGTACTGTCTCAGACCTGTCCTCACTGTCCATTCTGTCCTCATTCTGTCCTCTGTGTCCTCTCTGTCCTCTCTGTCTTCTCTGTCCTCACTCGGTCCTCTCTGTCCTCACTCGGTCCTCTCTGTCCTCACTCTGTCCTCTCTGTCCTCTGTGTCCTCTGTCCTCTCTGTCCTCACTCTGTCCTCTCTGTCCTCTGTGTCCTCTGTCCTCTCTGTCCTCACTCTGTCCTCTCTGTCCTCTGTGTCCTCTGTCCTCTCTGTCCTCACTGTGTCCTCTCTGTCCTCTGTGTCCTCTGTCCTCTCTGTCCTCACTCTGTCCTCTCTGTCCTCTGTGTCCTCTGTCCTCTCTGTCCTCACTCTGTCCTCTCTGTCCTCTGTGTCCTCTGTCCTCTCTGTCCTCACTGT